TTAGCCAAATGTTTCAGTGAATTTCGCTCCAAAATCCAAGACTCGTTATCTTATACCTGATTGGTTCGTCCATAAGTTATGGTCTCGCCGAAACATTTTAAAACGATACTAATGTGTAAAATATTTTCAAGTGCACATTGTATACAATATAAATACTAGGTAAAATGCATTGTAATATCATTGAATTGGTTCATAAACCAATTTTATTCAACTACACAAAAGTTAAACACTATAAACATATATTCCAGTAGTATATTGCGAGTTTTGTTCATCTTACTACCTAACACTTAACTCATTTTTACTCATTATTTCAGTGAAATGAAAGATAAGAGAAGTAGCTAAGTGTTTGGCTTCGCATTGTTTCGACCTTATTTATGACAATGTAAATTGAACTTCATTTACTTTGAGTATTAAAAAAATACTAATATTATAATAAATAAAAAATCTTTTCATGCAAACAAGTCATTCCAAATAATCTTTTTTGGTGGAAATGCATGTCGATTCCTAATTCTTCCTAGTTTTTAATCAACAAATTATCTACCATATCATTAGTTACTTATTTTATTTTTAATTTAAAATCGTTTATCATCCTACTTTTTCCATCTAGATCATATGAATTCCATATCATTGTTTTTGACAAGGGTAAACTAATTAGAAAGAAATAAACAAATAAATCACAAATGTGTTTTTTTAATATTCGAAAGTAAACATTTGGTTGAGTGGTTTATAAAGACTATGTTTTCTACTGAATGAGAATCACTCTTAAGAAAGTAAAAAAGCCAGGATGAAGCAGTTGCCCAGTATCCTTTAACTGGGAATACTTTTACATGTGGTATCATTTCGTACGGATAAATGACTATTATGATACGAACAAGCTAAAAAAGAATAAAATGAGATTTTAAAAGACTCATGTATATCACTAGTGTTTTTTATATACTTATAATAGAGATGATTATATTGAAATGTTGATGAACTACTGAGTACTATTTTGCAGTTATTAGTGATCCCATTCTACCTATCATGTTGATTTTAGGTATACGTGTAAGTGATTTGATGTCATGTACACTATTGCTTTATGTTATATGACTTAATCCACTCGGTCGAGATTCCTTTACTCAAATGTCATACTACTTAGGAAGGCCTACCTCCAATGTTGATGCTTAAAATAGAACATATACCCATTATATCTAGTTTTGCGAGCAGAGATGTTTGATTAACGACGGAACTTCTGTTGATAATGAATGTTCACGTCTTATGAGGCACATCAGTTCTAGGAAGTTTAGGACTGCACAGTAATGTCAAGCCCAAACTAATTTCAAAATTTTAAACCTGATCTACCTAATGATTTTTGCAAACTACATAAGATCTAATGCAATTAGTCTGTTACCACTAAGATTACTTAATTGATCTTCCTATTATGAATGTACAAGGAGTGTTATCATAACAAATTGTTATTGATTATGTTTGATATTTCTCTGACAAGCTATTGAAATTGTTTACACACAAAATTTCTTGTTAGTAAATGTCATCCCATAAATATTTATTTTCAGTTTACACGTCATTTCTATGTTGTGTATAAATATTTCATATTTAGATCACTTACTAGACATTTGTTTATGTGTTATGTATTTCAGGAAACATCATCAAACTTAAAAAAATCAAACAACAATTTTCAGTTAGTGTTGTGCTTCAAAATAATTTAATTATAAATATACAATTCACTATTTAAACAATTATTCATGTTACAATGAAATCATTGTATTTTCATTAACAAAAACTGATTCGTAATATTGTATTATAACACTAACCCTATAGAGAAGCTAATTTTCATTATAAACATTAGATTATGGTTAAACTATTTTATTTTGAAAGACATCAGATTTTGAAATGACATACAGGTACTATTGTTAAATAGTTTCAAAAAGTATATAAAGGAGTAGATAGATTTTATGCATAAAATGACTGTCGTTACCGATTGTACAGTCAGTACGATCAAAGTCGATTCAACATATATATGCACAGGTTTAGTAAAGCGATATTTATATTACTTAGGGATTATTTATTTGCTTGGCTTAGTCAGTAATTGACATTATTGGTCTCATACAAGTTGCTGATATGCTATAATCTAATAGAAACATGATCAATACATTAGTTTTAAAAGTAAATTGAGCATTATAATCTATTGATCGATTAAATTCAATGACTAGACGGTATGATATTGATTAGTAACTACGTGTCGATTATTATGAATTAACATTGCATCATAAACCCCTATTTTGTTTTTGTTTTTGATAATACTAATAATAATAATTATTATTATATATAAATAACTAAAAGAAACGATAGCAATAAATACTACGTTAAATTGTTCGTCATATGTGTGTTTGAGTGCTTTGTGACAAGGGTGATATATATATCCTTTTAATATCATAGTGAATGATGCTATGATAACAAGGTTTGAGATCAACCACGAATAATCACTTTCATTAATGGATGAGATGCATGAAGTCTCTGGTGTAAGCAGTAACAGAGAAGAGGTAATCATCAGTGCAGTGTGCAAACAGTGTTGTTGAATCTTTTCCATGTACGGATTGTTGCAAATTAATACAGACTAACAAGAGTTTGCTTACAACTTAATTCATATTGGAAGTAGATTTCAAATGAAACAATTTCACTTTTTATAAAGTGCTATAATTTAGTGTTTCTGCATAGTGGATAGCATTAGTGGATGTAAGATATAATTTTTTTATTATTTGGGAGAATATTAGATTATAACGTAACTATGACGAAATCAAAATTGAGAAAAATATCGGCAAAGAAAATTAATCCACATTGAGTAATGTAATTTCTAAATTCGATTTTCATAATCAATGGACAACTCCATTAATTTTCATTGTGATTCAACTTGTGTATAACTTAACACATGAAGAAAAAACGAACACACCACCTAATAATTATCCGCATACAGGAAATGAATAGCCATGCTTTAGCAGTCACACAGTTTATATAAGTTATAGCGGTTAAATGACCACACAACTTGCTATCGGAGGAACGTTTGATAGAGAGGAGTTCATCTAAGCTGCTTTGTGTATGTAACTAAAAAAACCAAACCATGCAAGCAATGTTTCTCATCCCATAAAACAGGTGTTTGCTTATTAGGAGCTAGCGGTAAAAATTTTAAAACGCTTTAGATATGCTAAAGTACAGCACTTGAACTAAATGTCTGAAATCATGTTCAGTAAAACTAAGTTAACGAGGTCAAAGTGATGTTATGAATTATTGATAAGTTTTTCTGCGTTTTGTTGTATACAATATTTTCCTCTATTCCATGGATAACTGGAGTAATATTTATAGCCCTACACTTGTACAAATTAGTCTTATCTTCATCTTTGCAGCATGGTATTTTATATGTGGTGCTTTAACAATAAACTTTAATATTGATTTGATAAAATGTTGTGAGTCTAAAAAGTTATGTCTGTGTGTTTTTTTATGCGATGTAAAACAAATTATTATCCTGTTTTCTATAAGCAAAGTTTATTTAATTGGAGCGAAAATGGAGATTAAGTAATCTATTGAAGTAATCACCTCTTTGCGATTTCATCTTACTGATTCTACAATAGTTAATAGAAGCATTTCATCCCCGCCAAACTGACTGATTTTAAGATAGATTTCATGTCCAGTGCTTCCGGGTTTTCAATGATGATCTATCTTATATCGATCATGAATTCAACTATTAAATTAAGCATTTCATTTTACAAAGACAAATTTTGTAATGTTTTCTGTTTATAATAATATTATTAGTGATAATGTATGTAGTAATATAGCGAAGTAAGAATAATTTGAAAAAAATGTTATTCTTGTTAAAAGAATAATGAGAAAGTTGTTATAAAGCTCGAAATATAAGTCATTAATAAAAAGACGATTATTTTAAGACAACTTAAAATGGTAATTAAAGACGATGAAAAAGCAAAAATAATTCCATTTGTGTTTTATGACTGAATGAATATCATAGAGTGATAATTTGTGTGACGATAGATTATTGCTATTCTAAGCGAAAGAAACAAGGTAAATTTCGTTTGTCTGTATAAGAAAAAACTTCTGTTTATGATAAAGTCTTTAGCAAAATACAGGCGAGAAGATAATACGCCTATGGCAACTTTCCATTAGCTTTGCAGATGATATTGAATTAAGGATTTATTATGATTAAATGACCAATCTATATAAGGTGTTACATTGTCACTCAAATTTTAGATCTTTTCTTTTTTTCCTTCTCACCAATATCAGTACAAGTGTTCTTGAACATTTTTCTTAAACAATGCTAAGAACATAGAATGATCAATTTAACTGGTTTAGAGAGATATAATGAAATTATCACTACAGATCATTTGAACTAGTTGTTTTGTGTCGCTTACCTTCTGACAATACATGTCAAACACTTAGCTAAATATCAACAAGAGTAACTGACCTTAAGGGAGTTGCAAATTCATATTTATATGCAAAACATCTACTCTAGTATAATTTTCAGTAACCTGATGAAAGATATCAACATTATACTTTTTCTTGTCGTCTTAATATCTATTTGTCTTTAAATAGGATTACAAAGCATTTCTATATTTATTATTTAACGTAGTCGAATATGCGTGGTGTATAAAAAGAGGAAGTAACTGAATTGAAAATCGACCGTTATAGATGATCATAAAAATGTACGGTATAAATATTAAAAAAAGTTTTTTTCTAATAATTTAATTCATTTATTATACTTCTATGTTTCTGCACTTTAATCTCTATATAAGTTGGTCTATTTCATTACATAATGTTAACTTTTAATCCTAGTAAACAAAATTATTCACAATTAATTTTTAACAGTATTTCAAATTTTTATGTTTCCTTAAGTTTTTAAAATCAATCTATTTTAACTATTAAACAGAAAAAATGAATTAAAAACAAATAAACTTTCAGCAATTAATATTTTAATGTAACATTTTTCTTCTTTTCTTTAGGTACACATGTTATGGAAGGTTCTGGTAAAATGGTTGTTACAGCTGTTGGAGTGAATTCACAAGCTGGTATTATATTTACATTGTTAGGTGCAACTGAAGGAGACAGTTCGAATGCTGCTCCACCGCCTCCAATTAATTTAGCTAATGCTAATGAGATGACACAAATTTCAAGAAATACAAATCCATCACAACAAAACTATGATACAGATGGTAAACAACAACATGAAATAAATAAAAATTCTAATGATCAAACTAATGGTCATAAACACTCAATTAAAGGAAGTGGCCATGTCGCTTTCAGTGGTACATCTGAAGGTAAATAGAATTTGATTAGTAACAGATTGCATATAACATATTTATTTTTGAGGAATATATGTAATTTGTTCCCATATGTGTTAAATTATAATATTACGGAGATATTAAACACTATTTTAATTTGCTGCGAGGTTTATTCATAGTGAATGTTAATTACATGCCAGTCGCATACTACTAATGAGAATCATATAAATAAGTCATCGAAATAACTGTAAGCAAAAGAAACGAGATTTATTTTTGCAAATACGATTCTTTTTTGAATTATTATTTAAATATGGTTTAGAGTGGGATTTCCGTCACAAGCTAAAATATGATTATTTTTAGTATAAATACTCTATAACAACTGTGATTATGGGTATCCTGAAGTTTTAGTTAGAATAACAGAAATTTATATTCACTTCAATCAGAAGTGGAAAATCATAACACTAATGACTTTAAAATTGAATTTTATACATTATGTCTTTAACTTTTACAATTATCGCAAAGTACGATAGCCAATTTAGATACGCAGACTTATACGAACAAGCTAACGACTCATACATCAGTACAAGCAGCCTAGAGTCTCGATCGGTCCTTTTTCCTCCTAACCCTGTCTGTCAAGTCCAGAACGCTAATCTCAGCCTCCGCTATACGAATCATTTATTTCAAACATACTTGGTTCATATAGAAAAAAAATCAGATTACGTCATATCACAAAATGGGAAGTAACATTTGTACAAGATCAAGCCAGAAAGACGCTGTGATTGCGAGAAACTATTACCAATAAATTGAGAATCTCTCGAGAATAGTAAATCGTATGGTAATTGTCAATAAGTCAAATAACAGCTTATAATAAAATGATTGTAAATTTACATATAATACAGTCACTTATTAGTTATACAATTAAAATATACGTTTAATATTAGTCGATAAATAGATCCCAACAGTTACCTTTCATCATTCTCGTCAAGATATAACAGTATAAACTATGGTATAACTGAAGTAATGAAATACTATTTTCAATATTATGTATACATTATAAAGAACCCATGATTAGATACATTCCACTATTTCTATTACTTTACTTAAATGTATAGTGGAAAATCATTTTATTCATGTCATATAGTTATTTTAGTTGATATCATGAAAATGAATTAGTGTCAATTTATTTTTGTGTATAAAACAATTTAAGTTGTCACAACATATAAACTGGTAAATATTCTCTAAACAGGTGTTATTCATAACTCGTAAAATTCTTCTAACATATTGTTGTGAACGATGAAATCAAGTGAGGAAAACTAATTAATTGTTTAATGCAAAATTATATAGAATGTGTTTGTAAAATATGAAAACCAGACATTAAATACAATATTTACACATCTTCCTTCAGTTGTCCTTTTACACATTTTATGATTATTTTATTTTCAATTTTGATGTTATTACAATTGGTCTCTCTCTGTTTATATTCCTGTTCTATGCGATTGGATCTTCTGATTTGTCTGCTAGCATGCATTCCACTTCTGATCGGTGTTACATACTACTAATATCTGTCAACATAATCAGCATACACTACAATATGATTTTCATTATTATTAGTTTAAAAATGGAAATGTAAGGGGGAATATTTTTCTCTTTCTCCACAGTCATAAATTCACAAATTAAACATTCATCGAATTTTAAAATCAGCCATTAATTAGTTTGGAAATTCATAATATAACGCAGTCATTTTCAATTGTTATTGGTGGGTAACTGCTTCACATATTACACAGTTGTGCTCCACTGGTTATGACTTCTCAGTAGAAATTTTAGAAGCACATCTAGAAGTCAGTCACTAGTGAGCACGTAATGATTATCAGTACAAGTGGCTTGTAGAGCTTGCTCAATGTTATTGAGATCACGAAATTTACTCAGTTAGACAAGTACCAAAAAACAGGAAGGGTTAAATAGCTAGTAGGATTGTAGTTTTGAAGGGTTAAGAAGTCGCTGCCGGACTATAAGTTATGGATGAATCAATAAAATTTATGAATGCAGGTCCTGGATTTTAGCGCGAAATTCATTCATCCAATTAGCTACATAGCATTTTGGCATTGTAGCTTATGCCAGTCTGTGATGCAAACCCTGACTATTATTCCTAACTTTAGCGTCCGATTCCTTACATTTATTTGTCATTCATTTAACCTTAGTAGATTGGTCGACATCCTTAAAGTCACTCAAGCATCTTTCAAAAGTCACCTACAAATTATAGTTTCACAAAAAGTGTTTACTGGGACAAAACATCTGTTACATGCTTCCTAATTCTTAATGACTGTCTAGATTAGGTCGGTTCGTGACCTCAATTATATTCGAAAGACTTCAAGAACTTTCTATGCATATATATATATATATATATATATATATATATATAAAGGTGGAGAAATAGTGGGCATGTTGTTTATTTGAAGTGATCGAATACAAAACCGATTATAGCATACAATGGCGTACAGTTAATAGATAACTTTCTGAATGTCTATGTATGTACGTTTTTAGTTTTTTTTCACAAGGAAAAATTTGATAGGGAACGAATTAATTACTTACTTACTTATGCCTGTTACTCCTCGTGAAGGAGCATAGGCCTCTCACCAGCATTCTCCATCCAACCCTGTCCCAACCAATCCTTCTCAGCTCTTTCCAGTTCTTATTCATCCCTTTCATATCCGCTTCTATTTCCCGACGTAATGTGTTCTTTGGCCTTCCTCTTTTCCTCTTCCCTTCAGGATCCCAAGTTAGCGCTTGTTTCATGGTGCAGTTTGATGATTTCCTCAATGTATGTCCTATCCATTTCTATCGTCTTTTCCTAATTTCCTCTTTAGCTGGAAGCTGGTTTGTTCTCTCCCAAAGAAGGCTGTTGCTGATAGTATCCGGTCAATGAATGTTGAGTATCTTGCGTAGACAGCTATTGATAAATACTTGTACCTTCTTGATAATGGTTGTAGTAGTTCTCCAAGTTTCAGCTCCGTACAGTAGAACTGCCTTGACGTTGGTATTGAAGACTCTGACTTTGATATTGGTTGAAAGTTGTTTTAAGTTCCATATGTTCTTCAACTGTAGGAATGCTGACCTTGCTTTGCCAATCCTCGCGTTTATGTCTGCATCTGAACCTCTTTGTTCACCGATGATGCTTCTGAGGTATGTGAAGGACTCCACATCTTCCGTAGTTTCGCCATCAAGAGTGATTGGACTGCTGTTCTTCGTGTTGTCTTTGAGGACCCTGGTTTTCCGTTTGTGTATTTTGAGGCCTAGTGATGCAGAGACTGCTGCTATACTGGCTGTCTTTGTCTGCATTTGTTCGTGTGTATTGGATAGGAGGTCTAGGTCATCTGCGAAGTCTAAATCGTCTAGTTGGTTCTGAGCTGTCCATTGTATGCCGTGTTTTCCTTCAGATGTCGAGGTCTTCATAATCCAGTCGACCACCAGAAGAAAGAGGAAGGGAGAGAGTAGACAGTCTTGTCTTACTCCGGTCCTCACTTGGAATGAGTCTGTCAACTGTCCTCCATGCACTACTTTGCACTGTAGTCCGTCATATGAGTTCCGGATAATATTGACAATCTTCTCAGGAACTCTGTAGTGTCGAAGAATTTTCCATTACGTTCTCCCATCCACACTGTCAAATGCCTTCTCATAATCAATGAAGTTGATGTACAGTGACGAGTTCCACTAAATTGATTGTTCGACGATGATCCATAGTGTCGCAATTTGGTCTAGGGAACGAATTAGCAAAGAGGAAAAACACATCGTCTTATTCTTTATTGTTATTTGAATAATAGTAATAATAATTATAATAACCATGAGAATAGTTATTACCATTGTTATTATTTTTATCCTTCTTATGTATTCTGATGACATCAAGATAAATCGAAATAAGTATTTTATTATAGTTAGCTTTAAAGCATAGTTTGTGTATAAATGTACAATTTCACAAGAAATATGTTTATACACATTTATGCATGTGAGAACTTAAATTTTCTTATCAAATTAATTACCACCATATAAGATATGCAAAAAATAATTTTTGTAAAATAAATCATCAAGTGACCAATAATTTAGTCATAAATCTTTCTTATTCTCTAAACGCACGCTATGAAAACTATATTAATATTCATTTGATCCACTTCTTAAGAAGATAGATATGAAAATAAGTTTGATCAAAATTTCTTCATTTACAGTAAGAAAAATTCATAAATTTGTGTTTTACGTTGAGTAGTGGTGTACAGCACGAAGGAGAGTATTATGTTTTGGTTGAAAAACATAGATGACTGAATGGTACAAGTAACAAAATATATTTTTTTTGTATCAGATGTAATTTTAGAAAATAGCAAATTGTATTCGATCTTCAAGTTTACTTTTGTAATTCAGGAGGGTTTATTTTTTAGAACTCAATTATTGAGCAGTATGAATACCATTATGACGTAAGAAAACAAGATAAAAGCTTCTGATGATAAAATCAATATAAGCAAACTACAGTATTTGATATCTCGAATAATGTTTCTGATAATTTGTGGTAACAATAATGTTACTCTGGTTAAAAGTAGGCTTTAAATTGTAGACCGTCTCAATATTTGAAATCACCAAGTTAACCTTAGAAACTCACATACATCTTTCGAACTCTTCTTGTTTTCATATCAATTCCATTGAATTATTTTGTTTAGTTTTTCTATCAAAGTGAATCTGTCAGTAGTTTTGTACAGTTTTGTGATAGTTTTTATTATGAACTGATGTCATGCAGAAATGGATAATTTTCGTTATCAGTGACTCAACAAAATTGCACAACTAAACACACTATGGATATCATAATCTTCGGATCTTGAATTGAAGTGGATACCTGTAAACCACTTTTGAGAAACCCATTGAATTGTATTTTGAAACCCAACTTATCTTAGGTACAGTTGAAGTTGATGTAATGTTATTTTTAGGTTACAGTTTCAATTCCCGTCCGGTTGACGCTAACGGTTATAGCTTTTCTACATCACTCCAAGAAATTTATT